GAAATTTCCATGATGCATATCGTATGCTTCTCTGTGATATACGTCCCAGTCTTCCAATTCTGTCCTCTGCCATTGGCATTTTTCCAAGGATCCCCGTACTAACACAGTAAGCATATTTCCAAGGATCCCCATACTAAACAGTAAGCCATCTTACTATCAACATCTAACCCTTTTTGTCTAACCTTGTCTATGTTGATGAGTCTTTACCCTTATTTGAACATCTGCATTATTTGATTTCGTCAAAGCAGCTTATCCTTGCTTTGTAAACGTATCAACGTATACAGGAAACTGGTGTTTGTTATGCATCAATGTGTCCATGTCTACGGGATACTGGTGTTGATTATACATCACTGTGTCCATGTCTACGGGACACTGGTGTTGATTATACATCCATGTGTCTATGCATACAAATTATGCAAGTGTTGGACAGCGATATAGTTTTAAAATTGATTAATTAATTAGACACGAACAATTTGTGTCAATATAACACAAGCTTTAACAATAATGTTACATCATTCACAAGGAAACGTTTCGGCAAATGACGTCCTCAATATAACAACAAAACATTTAAATGAGTCTAAATAATATGTATACAGGACACTTGTGTTTGGTTACATGTCAGTGTGTCCATGGATGCCTTTAGATCAGCTTTATAGACATGTGTCGTATGTTTGATGAACACAGGGATCGACAAACTAAGACTCAAACCACAAGTCAACTGATCCAGTTCAACTATTTATGAATGGAATGTTCATGGTACGTGTGTGTGCGTTTGCTGGAAGATCAAGTATTCTCACATTGTTAACAAAATAAGACTGGTGTGGAGTGCTACCAATGTGTGACGGGAGACGTCATGAATGAGAAAGTCAGTTCCCAGCTCACCGTTAGAACGACAGTCGTACTCGATCGATCAGACAAGTAGTGGGGGTCAATAGGTCAAGGTAAGGGAATAGATGGGACCGGTACCAGACGAAAATTAGCACAACGATTTTTTTTAGATTGCAAAAAGATCAACTTGGCGTACATGAATGATGAACATGGAAGGACATTCGAAAGATGAACAGGGAATGGCATTAAAATGATGAACATGGAAGGGCATTAGAATGATGAGGGCATTAGAATAATGAGGGCATTAGAATGATGAACATGGAATGGCATTAGAATGATGAACATGAAAGGGCATTAGAATGATGAACATGGAAGGGCATTATAATGATGAACATGGAAGAGCATTAGAATGATGAACATGGAAGGGCATTAGAATGTTGAGGGAATTAGAATGATGAACATGGAAGGGCATTATAATGATGAACATGGAAGGGCATTAGAATGATGAGGGCACTAGAATGATGAGGGCATTAGAATGATGAAAATGGAAGGGCATTAGAATGATGAACATGGAAGGGTATTAGAATGATGAACATGGAAGGGCATTAGAATGACGAACATGGAAGGGCATTAGAATGATGAACATGGAAGGGCATTAGAATGATGAACATGGAAGGGCATTAGAATGATGAACATGGAAGGGCATTAGAATGATGAACATGGAAGGGCATTAGAATGATGAACATGGAAGGGCATTAGAATGACGAACATGGAAGGGTATTAGAATGATGAACATGGAAGGGCATTAGAATGATGAACATGGAAGGGCATTAGAATGATGAACATGGAAGGGCATTAGAATGATGCACATGGAAGGGTATTAGAATGATGAACATGGAAGGGCATTAGAATGACGAACATGGAAGGGTATTAGAATGATGAACATGGAAGGGCATTAGAATGATGAACATGGAAGGGCATTAGAATGATGAACATGGAAGGGCATTAGAATGATGCACATGGAAGGGCATTAGAATGAAGAACATGGAAGGGCATTAGAATGATGAACATGGAAGGGCATTAGAAAGACGAACAGGGAAGGGCTTTAGAATCGTGTGTTCTGTCTCTGGAGAGCTTCTAAAGTAGGTTGCCCTCCGTCCCGATAAATCGGGACCAATGTCCCCTTTAAGCTGTGCGGTGGCGCAGCTAACTCACAGACGCCGCGCAGCTAACTCACAGACGCCGCGCAGCTAACTCACAGACGCCGCGCAGCTAACTCACAGACGCCGCGCAGCAGTTTTGAGTAAATTTTCAAATACCGGTAAGTGTCTGTGTTTGTTGGGCTGTAAAATTTTGCTTACAAAAAAAAAAAAAAAATTAAGCTGTAAAACTTTGGACACAACTGTATGATTTTATACACGAACCAGCAAACCTTAGAGGGAACATTGATGAGGACCGTCCCCGTTATGTAGCTTCCATGAAATTGTGCTCTAAATAAAAAGTAGTTATATTAAATAAATTTTACTTCATTTCTACACCACCATCTCAGAGTGTCCCGTCCTAGCTAGATATGGCAACTCCCATCTCAGAGTGTCCCGTCCCAGCTAGATATGGCAACTCCCATCTCAGAGTGTCCCGTCCCAGCTAGATATGGCAACTCCCATCTCAGAGTGTCCCGTCCCAGCTAGATATGGCAACCCTATTCTAAAGTAAATCTAATGAACTTTAAAGGGAAATAATAATTGGGGAAAAGGAAGGGGGGAGGGGGTTACCGGCTTCCTATATCTTTTTTAATTTCATTAAGATGTTGATATCACATGACATATACAACACTTGCAGGTTACATATCAAGTTCTGTTTTGGGTTGGGGGGGGGGGTTGAGGTATGAACTCATGTCTTGCATGCATGGCTCAGCACTGTCAGATCACAGGTTGATAACACAGGTGCAGCTGATAGGTTAGACCCCATTGTTTACTAAGCTCAATCGTAGACAAAGTATCAGTGGATGTAAAGGTGCTAAGGACAAATTAGGGTGGGGAACAATAGGGGAAGGGTTCATTGGACCAATGTAGTGAATATATTGACTTGATATGGTGACTATTTAGAAGTCTATAAAATATTTTCTTATCTGTGATTTAATTAACTGACTGCACAAGATAATTCACAGTTTGAGAATACCTGAGTCCTTTTACTTTTACATGTGGTGCATTATTTAAAATTAAAATAAAGCAAAGTAGAAACAATTTAAGCATATATTATTATACATGCACACAAAGTAATGTAAAAAGTTGTTAAAACATACATTTACTTTACGTAATTCTAAATTATTTTAAATAGAGCCTAACAAACTGTGAACCGAACTTCGGTTGATGTTCAAATGATATATTATGTCACGCAATAGTAGATACAATCCATGCACAATAACATTGAGATGTAACAACATAAACTAGTTAAAGAATTTATTTTATAAAACAAAATCTGACATGCAGAATGATAAAGTGGACAGGATATAAAGATGGATAAAAGTATTAACAGAAAGAGCTACTCACAGGGTGCAGTTGAAGTTTAAAAATAGTCACTGAAGCTCTTCTTTAGAAAGAGTAGAATGGTTTACACAGAACAATGTTACCTAATTATTCATTATAATTTTTGTTATACCCTTTAAATTGTGATTCTTTACTAGTAATATTGATTAGGTAAGTGGGTCAAACAGTGTGACTTTCCACTGGGTCTGCTGTGCAGCTGCAGTGCTTGCTATACTGTTTCTAGACTGGTGATAGTAGTTGAGTGTGTCACATTGGAAAAAGAACAATCATATTTTTTTTTTAATCAAGAATTAATATAAGATAAATATATCTGATTTTGAAGATATGGTCATGGACGCTGATATATATATATATATATATGTTCATACAATTTTATTTTAAAGGACTGCACAATAATCATTCAGTAATGTACAATATTCCCAGAGATATGTAGGTTCTACAAGAGAGTTCTACAGGTGCAGTGCAATAGACTTTTAACAAGACACTACTATAACGTCATACCTGATAAAGATGATCCAGGTACACCAGGTGCAAATGAGGTGGTGTGTGTAATTTCATTGGTTGAAGAAAGCCTAATTTCATTTGGCCTCCTTGCTGTCATGTTATTAGTTAAGTCCAAAAGAATGCATCAGTGTAAGATTCTTTCAAATCTCCTTACTCCACCAATGACTAGAAACCATGGCATTAGAGTACTACACTTTGATTGTAAACCTAAGCCTTTCTCAACAACCCCAATTGCATTTTAATGAAAGGTCACTTAACAATGTCTATTATGTGACTATATCAGGTATGTTGGTTGCCCTTAAACTTAAAGTGACATGGTTGTGTGTGGTATTGATCAGTAAGCCAACGGATTAATGCAACTGCAGCTACACAGCATAGCGGGACAGACTACTTGAATGTTGAATGTGCCAATCCAAATTAAGGCAGTCTTACCTAACCTTGAATTTCACTAATCGATAAATCCACACCTGGTAACCAATATATTACATTTCATTGTATTCTTTCACTTCAATTATTTTCAAATGCAGTTATTTATTTATTTTATTTTTTTACTTTTGGCCTTTCAATTTGATCAAAGTAGCGACTAGACCTACGTATTAAGCATATATATCCAACTGCAACTGCGCTATATATTATAATGAAAAACACATCTACACTACACCTACACTACAAGTTTCAGAAGCAACACAAGCGAAATGAGTTCCTGTGCACATAAAAAGCCAAAAGGGCTGCGAGCTTTATTATGCCGCGGGTTTGCCCCACGAACCTGCCCCCCACCCAACCGTCTGACCTTACCCTTTTTATTTCTACTTCTCTTGAGTCGCTTGGCCTCGGCTTCGCCTCAGTGGTTGTCATGTGACAGTGGCAGACACTATTTGACATTGGTTTTTTTAAACAGTTAAGGGATTTTCAACAAAATAAATATTTTTTATAACTAAGATAAATTGATTTTAAGAACGTAAAAACTATTAAAATAACTTAATTTTTTAAATATTAGTTTAAATTTTTGTTTAACCATTAAAAATTATTCTTTAGTATTTGTTTTAGTTTTTTTGTTTCCACAATTCATAACGAGCACTTCGTCTTTTTAATAAAACCATTCCTTTTCTATTTCCTCCGCTGGGGAAACGTGAAGCTTTCATAAAACCCAGAAGGTAAACAGATGCTTTTATTGCAACTTTTCAATTTATAAAAATACATAAGAGTTATTGAAGAAAGTTTGCCGAATTTTTTAGCTGCATTTTAGAGAAAGTAAGAAAATTAACGCCTTGATAATATTAAATGAGAGAAACATTATTTTTCCCCTGTACAGAGTAGATTTATCTGGTGACGTGGCGGCGTTCTTTCTCTTTTCAATCGTCAATCGTTGATTATAAAGTTAAAAACATATTCCAATAATATTCATTAATGACATTATAGTCTACACTATTAGTATTAGCAGATGGAAAAATATTTCAAAAATAAGTAATTCCTTACAATTTGCTTCTTGCTCTTCGAGGATATGTCCAAATGTTAAATAGTTCCCATTCACTGCATGCAGCATGGCTGATTCCACTCATAATGATCACGAGTATGACGTCCATCAACCAGAGTCCAGACCATACTCATAAAATAATTAATTGTCCTTTACTTACAACAGGTAGTCAATTAGGCGTGGCATATGCATAGTCCTGGTTAAATTTATGTGATCTTCTTTGAGGAAACAAAACATGAATTAATTATTAATTTAACAGTCAGAGTCAGACAATCCTTCCAACTACAAACACAGTTTGACTGAGTTTGGTAACTTTAAAGTCAGTTAGGCCTACACTACATATTCAGCTGCCTTTTTTTACAGTTAGCATTAGGTCCAGTTATTACTAACAGTTATTAAATATAAAATTGTTTCTTTGTATAGTAATAGTTGTTTTTTTTAGTAGGCTACAGATATCAGTATCAAATTTTAGACTATTCTATTCAGTGTATTGTTAGAACTTGAGGCAAGAGCATGCACAAAAACTGAAACAGGCACCTTTTAAACCTTTTGGTCTGGTCTAGAAAAAAAGACAAAAACTTATATGATAAACCGATATAGTGTTAGCCTAGCCTACTTCTCAGGCAATACTAAATACTAATCCTGAAATACAACCATTTTAACATAGGTCTATTGAAGTCTACTGGACTTATTTTATTTGGTTCATATTTTAAATTTAGCCTTCAAGGTAAAGCTTTACAAGATGTTTAACCATGAAAATGTACTTTTTTCTTTGAAGATTCGGAATCAAATAGACTAGTGACTAGACTGGTAACAGTAGTATTAGTAGTAATAGTAATAGTATTAAGTACTAGTTAGTAGGCCTACATAGGCCGACTAGTTTAATATTCAAAGTCAAACACTTTATGTATCTCGGAGCATTTGAATATATTAACATTTTCAGCATTTATTTATTATCTAGGGATCGGCTGACTATTATATGTACACAACATTGGAATATCAAATGCTGCAATGCAACTATTTTTCCTATGACCACTTGTCACATGACCTGCCGGAATAATAATACTTCTAGTTGTCCGGAGGTCACATGACATGTCTACCGCCGGAACAATATCTTCCACTAGTCGTCCGGCGGTCACGTGACATGCCCGCCAGACGTAAAGCTCCCGTACTATTTGTCCGGCGCGCGTCGGACATGTAGACACTTTGAACTTATATTGTTAGTTTATCCAGTTTAGCCTAGACCTTGTGTTTAATTATTATTATCTTTTTTCTTTTCTCAGATGAAGTTGTGGATTACAGCTCTGATATTAACATTTGGATGTTTTATTCCTTCTTTTGGTGAAGAGGAGACAGATGCCAGACTTTTAGCTTCAAAAAATGTACTCAATCAGTATCTTGTAGAAGGGAAAGATCTCACTGTTGAATACAAAATCTTCAATGTTGGAAGCAGGTAGCTAGCTGGTTGTTACCTACAATTACAGTAATATTTTGGATTTATAGGATTGATAAATTTTATGTAATTTTTTATGGTGTGGCCGGTTGTTGATGTGGGTTTTTTTAAACCATGTCTTTTAATACCGAAGATATAGGCTGCACAGTAAAACCAGGTTGTATTATTTTCCTTTGGCAAATGTGTGTTTCATGCATGGGAGAAAAAGTTCATGGGAGTATATTTGTCTTGTTGGTGATGTTTTGTAAGCTCTCCGAACCAACCACATTATTATTGATGATTATTGTTAATGTCGCTTTTTTTATTTTCAACCTTTAATTTTCTTAAAACTAGATTTTTCAAGTTTTTTTTTTTTCCACAGGGTCGCTTTTAATGTTCTTTTAAATGACAACAGTTTTCCAGAGTCATCCTTCAGTATTGTCAGTGGTAATCTTAAAGTTGAATGGGAAAGAATTGCACCGTATCCTTTATTAAACTTATGCTTTACCATCATTTCCATTTTATGGCATAACAGCACTGTTAACATTAAATACAGATTTGCTGCTTTCAGTGGTGTAGCTAGGACTGAGTGCCACCCGGGACATGCCAATATTTTTGTCACACTCTCCTATGAAGAAAAAAAACTTTGCGCTTTAGAAAAAATGCAACCCATCTGTGTACAAAAATAACATGGCATCTTACACCATTGCCTGCTTTAGTCTGTCACAAGGCCAATATTATAATGCTCATAAAAAATTCCTCATGGAGGAGACAGATAAATACTAAACCAATACAGGTTGCTAATAATTATTATTTTTTTTTTTTACAAAACTAAAATATCGAAATTGGCAAGTTTACTTATTTAGAAAAGAGCTAGAATCTTTAGCGTGCATTAGGAGAGAGTAGGTTATTCTCATTGTGTTGTTGCAGTGTTATAAGACTCAAGTCATGTTGCTATAATTAAAGTATTTTTATTAAAGATTTGAATTTCTTGACTTCCATGCACAGTAATTCAAATGTCACACATGCAGTTATTCTGAAACCTTTAAAATCTGGCTACTTTAATTTCACGTCTGCAGAGCTGAGTTATCACACCTCAGAAGAATCAAGAGAGCGAACAGTAAATATTTTTATGTTTATAGTTTTTTTTTAGAAACTGTTTCCTAATACTGGTACTTTGTTGCTTATACTTATCAGGCATATAAAAAGGTTGCTCCACTTGTGCAAGAATTCATATATAGGAATTGTTCAAAAATTTTATAGATTTGATGCCTGCTTCAAGATAATAAAGGAAAAAATTGTTGGGTGACAAGTATGTTTCTAGTAATACTAATATTATTAAATTAGTATTACTTACAGAATTTGAAGTCTAAATGTAGGAATTTGTTGTGAAATGAACTCGGCATAAATTTGTTTTCCAGCTTGGTTACACCAGTTTTCCTGGTGAAGGTGGCATTGTTCCTCAAAGGGAATTTGACAGACGTTTCTCTCCCCATGTGGTGAGTAGTTTTATTACACATGCCAAGTTTAAATGTCATAATGCGTGAATTAAACATCAAAGCTTATTACAATGTCACAGATTTACTAATTTAGGTGACACCTATAGCTTGTTACTGAATGGGCCATTCAATGGTCTTATCAACGCAGTGCATCCTGCCTCATCTCTCATTATTTTTGCATTTATACTTAAACTTAAGACACACATTTCACAGAGACTTCGACAGTATCTTCAACAGTAGCTTGGGGTACCACACTAAATAAAATCACTATAATAATATTTTGAATTAAGGAACACTCCTTAGACTCTTGGATTTATCTCATTTTAGTTTATGCATAAAAACATTAAATTTTCACTGCTCATGATTTTATGTTATATTTCTCATTAAATTTATCCATTTCTAGATGCTTTGGTCTTAAGTTTGGTTTTCTTTGTAGATCAGAATTAGTTCTCTTTGTTCTGACTATATACTAAATAAGTGAGTCAGGCAATTGGTGCGCAGGAGTTTTATTAAAAATTTATTTAAAATATAAGAACAATAAACGAGGTATAGATTTGGAAATCCTATACTCTTCCTGTGTAAAAAATAAAAAGGGGGGTCATCTACTTCCCATTTCTCTGTACATTATGAATGTCATGGTTAATATGTTGTGTTACTTAGTCACAATTATCTTTTTCTGTTACCGTAACCTTTTGACACTTCATTTCCACTTGCTATCAACCAATTTTCTTCTCAATATTAAATCCACAGGAGGCAGGTTAGCATATTAATAACATGGCAACATGAAAAATGCACAAATAATGTACAATCTTACCGTACGCTACTTGAAAAAAATTATAATTATCTTCCATGACCCGACCACCCCCTGAAATATTTTTGTCAAGTCACATTGATTTGATTACCAGTGTAGAAAACAATGGTGGGAAAAAGTCCATTTACCATTGCAAAATTGGGTGACAAGTTAAGATAGACTTTAGGTATTTATTTTTGTTACTATTTACCTAATGGTTTGGAGTTAGTAAATGAATACATGATTGATTCAAGTTTAAAATAGTATGTTTTCATTTTTAGATTTTAATTTAATTTCACAAATTTTCTTTTCAGCTTGACTGGCTAGTGTTTGCGTTCATGACTTTGCCTTCTTTGGGTATTCCTTTCCTTTTGTGGTACAGCTCAAAGAGTAAATATGACCAGTCAAAAGTCAAGAAAAACTGAACATATAGTATAGTCATTAATGAATGATGTGTGCAACATTTTGCATGGTGAAAATGATATCAGTTGTTTTATTAAGACCACTTATGTGAGAGTTATTCATATTTATGCCATGAAATTAGTAAGAGTGTGATCGAATTTTGAACAGCATAAGAGGATTTTAGTTTCTTTATAATGTCATTAACTTAAAAAAAATTAAACGTACAAAAACCTTTTTTCAATTTTGTTTATTAATTCAGTTGTATGTGTAGTATGAATGAGTACAGCTATTAATTTTTTCAAATCTGGTGCATGTCTGTGTAATGAGACTTGAGAGCATCAAGAGTTTTACAAATAGCATGAAAATTTGTATCTACAGCGTCTTGGGACAAACAATTGTCTCAACTATCCCTCCCCCAATCACACGAATGTCATCTAAAATACACTCCTTTGCAACTTCCAGTGTTACAGTTCCCTTTTCATCAACTGAGGGCTTCCGATATTGGAAATGTGATGTCTGAAAGATAAAAAGTAGTTATGTCAAAAATTAAATGACTTCTAACTGGTACTCATGATTTCACTTCACCATGGTACAAAACTACTTTTAGTATGTCAGGGTTGTGCATGAAACCAGAAAGCTAGATTCATAAATTTTACTGGAAATTCTAATAGATAAGCATAACTAAGGTGCAGAAATTACCAGCATATTAAAATGTTGTTGGTACATGATTAGAATAGAAAATGTAAAGAGATTTGGGGTAGTTTTACTCACCTTAAAATCTTTTTTATCTAAAGCTTGTGATTTCCAGACTAAACCAATGAGGTCTCCACCATATGGGTCATAGAAGAACATCGCGAACTCTCCAAATATGTTCTGTAAGAAGACAATATTAGTTTTAAGTCAGCTTAATTCATAATCTCCTAAACTCATAATATAAATTGACAGTATAGCTCACCCTTAAGTCTTGAAGAAATTGTAGAGGTGGGTTGAATGCTATGACCGGTATTGGCAAATGACTGCTCTTCTCCTCTTCCTGTGAACTTGGAGCTTGAATTTCATGTTTTCCATCAACTGCCTGGTGGCTGACAACTATGGTTTTCTTGATGAGGCGAATTAGAAGGTCATAGTGATGTAGCGGTGGTCTGAAAATTAGCTGTGGAACAATCACTTTGGATGATAACAATTCTTTTATAATTGAACATTTTGCAATCGAATAACTTACACATTTGAAAAAAAAAATTGTAAGGCCACCCTTGATGTGCTGAACATTTTTAAGGTTATTCATAAAATGGCAAATGTTTATTACGTTTGTCTCAGTTGGATAGCTTTTAAACATTTAACCACTCCAATTTAGGAGAGTATTCATCTAATTAGTCTTGAGTGCTATATGTCTGTAATATTTAAAGTTAGTAGTTATTGATAACATGCAGATTCCCAACCTTTTGTGCAGGGCGCCATTTTATTGAAGTAAATAATGTTTCAATACCGGTATAATAAAAACTGAACCGACATAATTTTAAAGCTATGTAAAAGGTATGAATGAAATTGTCCCATGTAAACGGTTTAAACAGGCTTCAAAAGTCATGGTTGATATTTTGTCAATGTTCTTTCTTTCTTTTTTTTTAAACCTCAATATTTAATCAATCATTTGAATTCACAGTATAATTATGGTGTTACAAATGAAAACAGATATGAAATAATTTTTTTTTAATGGTACTGGTACTTGTTTCATCCCTTCACAACCCCATTTATGGTTGCAACCCATGTGTTGGGAACCTGCACTCTAATAAATGATTATCCCATGAAATGTCAGACTCTGTGTAACTAATATATTGTAATGTACTTTGAAATCTGTAGTGGCCCACTGAGTCATCAGCTGAGCCTCAAGGACTTTAAGAGATTCCCGTGCTAGTAATATGACTCTTTGAAGAAATGCTTCTGTGGGATGAGGTCTAGTCCATTTTGTCCCTTGCTTATCAGTAGGAATAGGGATACACATGCTGGGCAGTGTGGCTCGATTTTTGGTAAATTCTTTGGGGATAATTGAAAAATCTTCATCTGTGAAAATAAATATGTACAGAACTGTTAAGTTGTAAAGGTTTGTCTATTTTTAAAAAAAGCCCTATTTTCACCTGGAGGGGGGAAGGGACGGCTATGAAGGTCAGTAGTTTTAAAGGGGCCCTGGTCATACCTATCAAGTATAAAATAAATTTACATGTGTGAAAAAGTTTTGAAGCTCTAAGGAGATGAGATCAATCTTAAGTAAATCAGCCAACACAATCGTATTTTTAAAATTAAATTGAGTACCATACATTCAAATAACATCCACCAAAGCTAAATATAATCAAAGTTTGTCTAAGGAAGAAGAAAAGAAAGGGTTCTAGCAGATAACACTCGTGATCAGTTTATGAATTAATTATAATTTAAAAGTTTGTCGTTATATCTACCTCAAAAGTTAAATCAAAATCAAACAATCTATTAAAAAAATGCTTTTAGCAGACGAGAACGCACAGTATAATCAATGGAGCCAAGAGGGCAGTGGACAAAACTTAAAACACACTGAATAAGATCATATTTATAACAAGAAGGGCAGAGTGATATAAATATCAAATTTATTCCATAAACACACATAAACCTGGCTTGGCAGGGCACTTGAACACTTTTAGTCACGTTACAGTTTTCCGGCACATATGCCTCGGTCGCGTTACTGCAGAACCCAACACGCAATTTTCAACATTGCCAAGTGAAGTAACTCTTCTAAGTTACAAAGAGCCTATTTATAAGCAAGTGGTGTCTAGCTCTTGTGTTTTTTTGGGTTTGGTGGTTGTGCGCTTGATTGTAATTGCAAGCGATTATAAAAATAGTGCCTTAATGGTGTATGCCTTCCTAGAATTGCTTCAAACTGCAAGCATGTCGACTGTCAGTGTCAACGGTGATGAAATTGATGCAGAAAGAATCAATGGAAATTAAAGTGAGGGTGATGTTGAATTAGTTCAAAATCTTGATACCCAGATGGGTCAAAAGATGAAGACGCGATGATGTTAGATCTAAATGGATTGACCAATTAACAATGAATAATTTGTAGGTGAAACTGTCCTATTGTAGATGTAGATTTATTTTAATTAAAATGTCATCTTTTCTCTTCAATTATAAGTAATTTGTTACTGACTGGATGAAAGATTGATTTCTAATTTTAAAAATTTGAATCAGCAACTTATGGTCAAAATGGAGTTCTTTCCCTTTGCTTGGTACTTGTGTAATTTATGGGGGTCAAAGCTACCCTATTGAAAAGACTAAAATTTAAATAGTCACTAATCTACTGAAAGGGTAAAACATTCACAAGTCTATAGATGAAGTCTGGGGTACAGAGAGCAAGTTTTATTTTATTAAAATCAAGAAATAAAAAAGTTACCAGTGAACTCTTTGTTGAGATTGACCATCAATGGATCAGCTTTCCAGTTAAATGTTGATAAGAGATGAAGAAACCTCATAAAACCAGTACATGGGCTCCTGGAATATATTCAATTAGATGGCCAAATTAATTTAAGTTAAAAATTAGTGATTCTAACACAACTACTTTGGGCCAATACTACCTTCTTTTCTTTTCTTTGTAACATATGCAAGTAAACCTTGGACCCTAACAAAAACGGCAGAAAACCTATTTAACACATGGGAGAGGAAAAATCTCAGGAAAATAAATGGGTCAACAAAGGATGAATATGGATGGAGAATACGAACCAACCATGAACTATACAGTCTATATCAGGATCCCACGATAGTTGCAGAAGTAAAAAGAGGCAGGCTACGCTGGGCAGGACACTTTGAGAGAATGCCAAATGACAGAGGAACGAAGAGGGTGCATCACCAATACCCCAGAAGAAAAGGGCTCAAAGGCAGACCTAGGCTTAGGTGGATGGATGATGTGGAAAAAGATCTAATGCAGCTGAAAGTCCAAGCATGGAAAAGAAAGGCATTAGTTAGGTCTGAGTGGAAGGAAGTGGTGAGGCAGGCCAGAGCCCTACATGGGCTGTAGCGCCACAGGGATGGATGGGTGGATTCTTTTCTCAAAGGTAAAAATTGTGCTAAAGACAAAAAAACATAAAAGCTTTTATCAGTCCTCAAAAACAAACTTTAATGTAAATCCAAGTAAGTAAAATGACCAAGTAAATGGATTCTAAAAAGATAATGAAGTATTGGCTGGTGATTTCAAATAATAAAAGCCCCATTTTGGTTCTTGTAATAATAGAAATAATCACCCAAAAGACTTGAGAAGCTAACTGATCAATAAGAGAATAGTTCAATATCTATTGGCAAGGAGTTTTGTGAAGAGGCAGTGAGATAAAAGATGATTAGAAAGTAACAGTCAACTATAATAACAAAAGTATTTACCCAGGGGCAGAATAGGGTGGAGGAGAAATAAATAAGTGGGCCACCAACAACTCAATGACTATTTCAGGAAGGAAGTCCCATATCATCTGTGAAGCAATCCATCTCTTACACAGCCTAACAGTTGAGCTGTACGCTGGATTTTCTTGTTGTATACTGCAAACATCAAAATATATTGTTAATTGAATGTAAATATTAAACATTGTTTCTCAACAATGCACACATAATAATTAAATATGAAAAGAAATGATTTGCTTCATGTATATCACTCTTAATATTTTTATTTCATATTTTATATAAATTTAATTAATGAAATGAAAGTGGCTTAGTGGGCAGGCAACACCATAATTGTCCTAGTGTATAGGACTAGTGGATCCATACTATAGAATATTCCTATACTATTTGTTCTTCTATTAACTAAAAAACTGCAAGTTTCTAATTTCCGGTATACATTTTATAAAACAATAAACACTGCATGTGGAATTCTGAGATAAGAGTTTTAAATTAAATATCCACTATTATAACTCGTAATTGGATTAGAAAAATATGATAAGTTATCTCAAATAAATTTATCACATTATACAATAAAAATATTTGAGAAGCGCAAACTATTTTCAAATATAAAATGCCTAATAGCACAAGTAACTATTGCATTTAATTTTAACTTAAGTTTATTTTAATATTTTTTATAAAGATTATCAACAAACATACCCATGCAATAAATTAGTTAAATGTGGTAAAGCAACAATTTCACATTCTAGAGCGGTTGATTCATCTGTGTCCTTAAATTTCACCATACCACTTTCAGTTTTGAGCGTTCGTAGAACTGCCAGTTCCCTGGAGTTGGCAAT